TAATATAAAAATATCACTGTAGGATGCTGGCAGCAAACCGTATCAACCATTAGCACTAGTCACTGGTATTTGTAATGCATTTTTGAATGTTCAGTTGGCTGAGTTTCATGTTTAATGAATAAAGTAAACAACAACAACAACAACAACAATAATAGCAAAACACAGATTTACTTCAAACAGCTTACATCCTGCAGTGATATTTTTATATTATTATTTTATATTATTTTATTATAAACAGCATGTGTTTATCCCAGGTCCTAGGGAATGAATCAATAGGTGGATACAAATGTCAAATCTGGTGTAAACATTGGACTGATGGTACTGTAGCCATAATAATAATTCACGTAAGTCTTTTCTGATGAGTGGAAGGAACCTTTATCTCTACTTAATTTTTAGAAGGTTGACATCAGTTGTGGAGGAGACTATATAGTAGTGATGGCTAACCTCTTCCGGACTGAGTGTCCAAAGCACATGTATGTGTGTGCGAATGCATATCCCCAAACCCTCAAAATGCAATTCACCCACGGCCCTGTGCATGCGCCCTGCCCCTGTGCATGTGTGCGCAGCCCCCATGTACCCTGCCCCCGCACATGCGTGACCCCCACATACCCCTCACCCCCACACATATGTGGAAGAGACCCGAAGACCAGCTGGCCGGCAGAAGGCACACACGCATGTGCGACGGAGCTTAACTGGGCGACAGCTCGCGTGCTACCAGAGACGCTACTGTGTGCCACCTCTGGCACGCGTGCCATAGGTTCGCCATCACAGGTATATAGGAATACATAGAGTCTAGGAAACATGGAGAGCAGAGCCTGTATATTCTGAGATGTTCTTGCCAGCTGCTGTTTCTCCTTAGTTCCTCTCAACAGGCGTATTTGGATTTTTTAAAAGACTTGAAAGACATACCATTTCTGCTCTGCAAAATCCCACATGACCAGTAGATGGCAGCAAAGACATATAGAAAACTCCCCCAGCTTTAATGATCACATCTGAAAGTCACCCAGCTCTTAGTAGCCCAGACATGATACCCCTAAATTATGGGTTTATTACAGGAAAAAGTTAAAGGAGGGAGAACTGCATGGGTGTCCCCTTCCCCTTGATTTTTTTTTTTACAGCTCAAACTCATTGCTGCCCACTTACAAGAAGCTCAAGGTCAAATGGCCTACCTGCTAGTAAGAAGACTGAAAGCAGTAGGACGATGAAGCAATGGATGCCTGACTCAAAAAGCCAAAGAAATTTCATTTTGCAGCTCTCAAGGTGTTGCCGTATCCACCCGGTTACAAATTCTCTCCAACTAAGGGAGCAGTGCCTGGGCTCTTCGGTGCCTGCTCATGAGGGCTCGGCCCACATAGTTTCAGCCACTTGCCTCTCCTCAGGTGTGGCCCCTCCATGATGGGTGCCAAATTTTTTCTTCTTTTTTTAGAATGTCAAGAACACGTTGTGTCATTTCCCTCCTGGAAGGGGATGTCTCTGCACGGAGAGATGTGTTTTGAGCTGTGATGTGACCACAGTAGGCAATGGTTGAGTGGAAATGAGGCATTTACCTTTGGCTCCCTCTGAAAAACACAGAAGATGGAACTTGTCTTTTTGGGGGGTATGAGCTGAGAGTGGCTGAAGGGGAGGGATTGAAGAATGCTTTAGTCACCTATGTGACTCACAGAAAATGGTGAGGAATGGCAGAAGTTGCAGAAATGGCTAAATGGACTTGTCTGATTAGGAAAGGAGCTACTTTTTTAAAAGACTGGAAAGCTTTCATGAACATGTTATTGTAATTGGATAACAATGAACTGGTGACCGGTGACCGGTGACTGGAATTGCTGAATGCAGGGAGTGCATATGAGAGGAAGGGAACTATGTTTTGTAGTTTGGGAAAGTGGAAACATTATTAACTATGTTTGTAATTGGAAGAACATTGGAAGTCCATCCGTCTGTCTGTCTGTCTTTTTGGTTCTTTCTCTTTCATTTTCTCTCTTTCTTTTTCTTTCTTTTATTTTCTTTCTCTTTCTATCATTCTTTTTCTCTTTTATTTTCTTTCTCTTTTTCATTTCTTTGTTTCTCTATTTTCTTTCTTTCTCTTTCAATTTTTTCTTTTTCTTTCTCTCTTTTTCTTTCTCTCTTTTTCTTTCTCTCTTTTTCTTTCTCTCTTTTTCTTTCTCTCTTTTTCTTTCTCTCTTTTTCTTT